TAAAGCGTTTGAATGAAAAAAAGACTGCTTGACGAAGGCAACTTCTGAAGCCTTTAAGGTAGCTGCTCTTTACCATGCCCGAAAGGCATGGATTGTGAGGTTCAACGAGGAGTTTGTTAGCGCCCGAAAGCAGCAGAGGCTCCGACGGGCCAAGGAATCCCAGGAGGCCAGTGTGAAGTCGTCGAAAGTGAGGTCGAAGGCCTGAGCACGCATGTAGAGCGCTGACGTGACAGTCGGAAGGGGATTGTATAGGTGCATCTTGTGTTCCTCACGACCTGTCACTTTAGCACATGTCAACCGCGGCTGTTGCGACTCAGGGGCCCCTTGGAGCTAAAATGAAGCGGGCTTTAGTGCGTGCAATGATCTTCAGTTGAAATTACCATTGAAACTATTATGACTTGCTATTAGTACTTGCTGTTCACTACTACAGTTCAATATTATCCTTACTACGATTTGTGAACATGAAAGGCCTGAGAGCCAATTTTCATGCTTTGGTTGCACTAGTTTTTTGTCAAAAAATGCGAGTTGTACATCAAGGTATGTGCGGACTCGTATTGACTCATACTCAGTTGGACACACTAGCAGCCTGGATATTTTTTCTGAAGCTCGCACATGGTTATTGTCGCCAATGGAGACTGAGACCATATGCTCCTAATTTCTGTGCTTGGTGCTGCTACTGCTGCTGCTGCTACTACTACTAGTATACTATTATTGCTGTTGCTGTTACTGTTTACGATTACTATTTACTATGCTGCCTATGACTAGCACTATTATTATGATTAGAGTGTGCAATTTCTGTTCATATTCATACCGCCATGACTATTACAATTTTGATTATTCTGAAGCTTGCAATGACTTTCATTGTTGTTACTAAGATTACTATTGCTATTACTATTGTTTATGTTATTGAGACATTATTGCTCTTCCTTGCAGCCCGCCAGGCAACCCTGAAGAAGTTGGCTTCATCGGGAATCGCGAAGCACGCGGCGAAGCTCAAGAAGGCCCTGCGTTGGCTCCAGTAACCCCCCAAGTGTTTTTATAGGGATTATACAAGGATATTCAGGGTTTAGGGTTTCCCAAAATAGGGGGTAGCTGTTTGGAGGACCCCATAATAAGGATTATAGTATTTGGGGGGTCTATATTGGGGTCCCCACTATTCAGGGAAACTACCGGGCTGTTGCTGGCTGCTAGTGCTGGACAGGGGATTCGGAAATGCGATTCTTTCCAACACCCTAAGCCCTAAACCCTAAACCCTGAACCCTCAGCCCTGAACCCTAAACCCTAAACCCTGAACCCTAAAACCCTAAACCCTGAACCCTAAACCCCTAAACCAACAAATTGTTGCCAGGTGGGGCCTCCCTCAGGTACCATAATATAGGGTATATATTGGGATAATGGCAAATCAAATGGAAAAGAAAATGGAAAATGAAATGGAAATTGGGATTATTTGGGTTATATTATAGTAGGGTTATATAGGGTATATATTGGGATAATGGAAAAGAAACTGGAAACTGCTAAATGAAGAGTTGTCCCGTACTGGAACCTACAAGGGTTTAGGGTTTAGGGTTGAAGCTTTAAGGGGTTATGATCGCGGAGCATATCCCTGTAGACTGCCATCTAGTCCCCATATAACCCTAGTCTTGAGATTTTATTTCCCACTTTTGTTTCCATTTGATTCTTCATGATTGGGGATCATATCCCTAAAGCCTACGCCCTAAATAGTAGTTTCCATTTTCTTTTCAATTCCCCAAGAACAAGCCACCATATATGAAAACCTACCTTACACCACCCCTTATATAGCCTCTGTATATCTCTCTGCACAATCCTTATATAATCCCTAAACCCTAAAGTGCAGTTTCCATTTCATCTTGCCGAGTATCCATTTGATAGTACATTATCCCCAGAAAGCCCTACATAATCCCCGCATAACCTTTAAAACTCCCCACTAATCCTATGTAACCGCTTTAGGGGAAGTGAAGCCCAAGATCTCGAGGCCTGGCCGGAGTGGGGCAACATTGCGAGCGAAGCGGCACCGGGCGCTGGACTCGTCCTCCGCGAGTGCCTACTGCGAAGTCCTCAGCTGCTTCGTAAAGGTTTTTGGGGCTTAAGAGTTTAAGATTTAGGAGTTGGGGGGGTAGATTTACATGAGAACAATCATATACAGGTTGTACATGAGCTAGATCAAGCCATGCCGTACTGTGATATTACACACATATATATATACACATGCATCGTTCTTGGTGTTTGGGATGGATGAGGTGTGTGGATCAGGGGTGTGTCTGCATATCGTCCCTTGTTGGGGATGCATTGCGAGCATTTGGTCGTTTGCGTGTTTTGTAATGGATATCTTTGTAGAGAGTTCATTCATGGGGAGAGTGTTCAAAGGGTCCCCGATTGTCGGAAATACGCCCTGAACTCTAAATGGTAGTTTGCCTTTTCTTTGCCATTCCGCAGTGTATCTGTATACCCATATCCCTATACAATCCTTGTATTCCTAGTTGAAATATGCGCCACCCTAAACCCTAAAACTCTAAATCGTAAACCCTAAAACCCTAAAACCCCTAAACCCTAAACCCTAAAACCCTAAACCGTCTCAGCTTCAAGTCGTCCCAGGCTAAGCTTTGTCCACGCCGCCACGGCCTTGGCGCAGCTGAGCTCCAAGCCACTCTACGACGTTTGGGTCGTGCCCCCGCTGCGCAACTTGGGCCTCCGAGAAGAGGGGTTAGGGTTTAGGGGTTTTAGGGTTTCAGGGGTTTTAGGGGTTTTAGGGTTTTAGGGATTTTAAGGTTTAGGGTTTTAGGCTTTAGGGTTTAGGGTACTTGGCCTCCGAGAAGGGGGATATTAGCCGCAATAGTGGAGAATCAAATGGAAAAGAAAACGGAAAATGAAATGGAAACTGGGTTATAATGGGGTTTATAGGGATTAGGGTTT